TAAATACATAACAAATGCAAACTAGCATTTTACAGCAGCTACTCTATTAAAAGGAATATCCTGCTTATGCATATGAATTAAATTAAATGGCGATATTATTAATAGGTTTTTTATTCTGTTTTTGGTTTGTTTCATTTTGTGTTAAATGTGGTAGCCTTATATGAATTTTGGCAGCTCATTTTTAACCCAACTCTGCTTATTAAAGCTTAAATTATGAGTTGCTCATATTTTGCATAACCTCTGAATAATAAATTGCTCAATCTGTCCACAGGGCACTTCCACTTTCCAGTGTTTACAACACTGAATGGTTGGTTTAGCAGGCTATAAATAAAGAGCAGTACACATAAAGGCTTAATATCAGCTCTTATGGTATGCCTCTTTTTCTGCCAAACCATCTGTCTGTTTGTCGCTGTTTACTTTATCTGTTTATCTTGATTAGTATCATTTATTCGGTCTATTTGCGTGGTCTGTCTTTAGTGTGAATTTTTACTGAGCAGACACACAAGCATTCCAGGAACACTGTTATATTAGTTGATGTTAATGACAGAGCAGTTTCTTTTTGTGGCCAGACTGACTCCAGATCACCAACCCGAGCTGTAAGATTGATGCATGAGATCCTACCACAGGCCTCCTTGTGTCAGAAATCTCTAGACGGCTTTGTGTTAGCATATGTGTGTGTATCCATGTGTGCGTTTAGTGAGCAGGCATATATATATATATATACAACCACATAGCCTTCACCATGTCACCATGGGCGTCTCAGGCTCAGGGAAGCCTCGGGGCAGGGATGCTGCATGGGAAAGCCCTTGATTAAAACTCGACAGACTGTTATCCCACAATATCCTCAACCAAAAAGGAAGTAAGGGTATTGCTTTCCACTTTTACAACTTGCAGTACTAAGTAGTCTCCTCTAAATGATGAGAAGAAAAGCAGAGCGCTTGATTGTGGTTTCAGAGGCTAGGATTTTTTCTTTACTAAGCTTCCAGTAGTGAAAAGGGTTGACAGATGCTGTCTTTGATAAGTCGAAAAAGACAAATTTCCTATATATGAACAGAAGAGAAAAATTTAACTCAGTCACTGTCAAACATTAGAGTCTGTAAGAACACTGAAAAACTACTTGAGTTGAAGCCTGCAAGCTTCATGTACCTTGTGTTAGATATCAAACACACCCTCCAAATTTGGCTGTTTGTTTCAGCTCCAGAACGTCCTATCTGACCCTCACTGCTGCCTGCTGGTTCAACCCCTCCACCTCCTGAACGCGTGCCTGTAGGGTCCAAGGGAAGGAATATTTTGGAGCCCAACTAATCTGCACTGCCCTAATAAACCATTGCAAACAGAAGTAATTTGACATAATATTTGACAGCATTTATTTCTTTAACTCAGTCACCTGACTTACTGCAGCTGACACACGGTGAATCTTGCACTGTCACGCTTACTACCGCTGTAAAGTCTTAGGCTTATAATGAATAATTGATGTTAAAGATTACAACGCTGAGGCCACTGTCAGGAGAAACTCTAGAGATATCAGCAACAAGCTCTGACCCCAGGAGCAGCCCTGCAACCAGACACCTCCTCAGCACCTCTGATAGGGATATCCAATAGATCAGTCAGTGTGTGTGTGTATGTGTGTGACTGCAAATGATCCGATGTAACAGTTTTTTACGAACTGGGCTCCTAACACCAGGTTGCCACCAGTTTTCCTTTTGTTTTTTTTGCAAGAAGGGCTGAGAGGTGTTGGGGCCAGAATACCACTTCCTATCACAGATATTGTAGCTGTGATTCATCATGGTGCTTTTTATGTTTGAGCGTGTTTATTTGGGTATCAGGTGATGATGTGTGCATTACTGAGATAACTAAAACAAAGTTTGTCTCCATGAAAAATGAACTTATGAGATGAGTGAATACTGAGTGATTGGATGGTGAACTCATGCCCCGTATACAGTAGAGCATATGTGTGTTGTTCCATTTGCCTTTGATCTGAGCTTAACTTTTGAGTGCTAAGCAATGTTGTAGCTCAATGTCCACATACTGAGATACTTTCCTGGCAAAGCCTGCTTATGTAAAAGTAATCTGGAAGTATTATTCACTGCTCAGAAATGATTACAGTGAACAACAGGTTTAGGAATTTTTATTTTTTTAAAGAATTATTCTGCATTGTTCCAGGCCAAAGGTTAATTTTTTACTTTAGCTTATTAGTGCAAAATTGTGCTTTACTATTTAGAAAACACTACATACTGCAGCGCTACCTATTTACTAGGTGCAGTTTGTGTTCCAGGAAGTAATGTAATGCAGTAGGAAGGAAAGTAAGTGAGTAGACCGTAGTCAGGATCATGGGGTAAGTCAATAAAAGCAAATTTGGATGTTCACATTGTGCGGCCTCTTTAGTTGTGGGGCTTTCTGTGGCTTTATCTGTCAGATTTAAGAGCCCTCAGCTCAGCTGTCATCTTTTCAGATTTGGGTCCAAGATATTTGTGATGGACAGTGTGTTTTCTCTCCCGTGTCCTGGACTGTCACCCAGTTAGCTATCTGAGCTTTCAGACCGAGCTTTATGGATGCATGCTGACTTAGGCTGCTCTGCCAAATACATCAATATATGAAAACTGGTTTGTGTGTGTGTGTGTGTGTGTGTTTGCAAGAAAGAAACTGTGTCTCTGCGCACCTCTCTACATGAACTGTGACTCCCAGTCTTATCAATGTCAAAGGTCTGCGCCAGGCACTCCATGCCGCCTTTAGCTGTGACAGACAGATCCTAGGGGCCCCTTAAACCCCTGGGGTCAGAATTGGCACAATGCGTGATGCCAGCACAAAAACTGCCCTGCTGCTTATAGAACAGACCTGTGCCATCCACACAGCATCTGCTTTGTATTAGGCCCTTTGAAGGAAGTGCGGCATCTGGGTCAGTGGATGTGAAAGGGCTGCCCTCTGTTTTGACGTGGGGTTGCTAGGAGGGTAGAGGGTTGGATGCTTGCTAACATCCATCAAAAATGATGGTTTAAATAATGTGAGGCAATCATTGGGAAGGTTGGAAATGAGGTTTTGGTACATAACGATTGAGCAAAGATGTGGGATCTCAGACTATTTGAGAACTGAAAGCAATATAACATTGGAAGACTGAGACTGACTACGGTATGTTGCATTCTCTACAATAACACTTTGAAGATTTTCTACAAAGTTTACAACCTGTGGCCAGACCAAACTAGACATTTGGTGACTTTACTGTCTCATATAACTTAATTAGGCAGGCAA